CATTTTTGATGGGTAGTATTTTACTTTGAATATAATATGCTAAAGAAATTTAAACTTTAATCTGGTACAAGGCCACAAGTTTGGAGTAACTAGTGAGGTTTGAATTTGCTGCACAGTATTAATGATGTGCTGGGTGAATTTTGTTAACTATTACTTCACAAAAAGACTTTATTTTGCTTAGTTTGGCACAAGAAGATTTAAGACCATGACAGGGATTTATGTCTCACTTGTTAACTGCTAAAAGAAGCTTAGTCTGACACAAGGCCATATGTAAGGGGCACCCAGAATTGATATGCCACCAAATACATTGGAACTTCTTTGATGGAAGATTTTCCTGATTAATTTTGTAAGTTGTTCTTTTTGTTGTTGCTTTTTATCTCAAAACACTCAGATTGTGACATGTTTGTTAAATTCAGCCATGGGGGTGTATCAGAAATAGCGTCCAATGAAACTTGAACTTTCTTCTTGTATCCTAAAAACATTTTCTTTTTCATATATAGATGCTCTGCTTATAATGATTTGGCTACAAAATCTACATGGCAGGAGTCAGGCCTGTTAAAGAGCTGTTATTTTCTACATGTCATATTGAGGTAGATGAATGTAACAGCATAAATTACATGAATATATGAAAAATATTGTTCATTTGAACTCTTCTTTTAACAAATCTTTATAAATCATAAATATTTATTAGGCTTAGCTTAATCTGGTACAAGGACACATCTAAGGATCAAACACATTACATTAATTTGCTAACCATTATTAAACAGTGAATCTTTTTATATGCCATGTCCATTCAGGATGTGCTTGATCATGGCTGACCACAGTATCTAATCTAATGAGTGATGATTTTATGCTGGTACTGAGTCATGGTACTTGCGTTAATTTGAGACCAGTCTTAAAATATGGTGTCTTTTCTACAGCTCTTTGTCGATAACACTGTCTGGAAGATACATTATTATTTTTAATTTCTTTATGTATCTGCTGTCAAAAATCTCGACAACTGCATTCTATTTAACATAATAAGCAAATTTCAGCAAATACAAGTTATCTTCCTTGGACTCTGTTGCCACAAAATGGTGACCACTGCAATTAAAATTTTCCTCTTAAAATCAATTGAGGCTTAGACCTAAACAATGGTAGCCTTCATTTAACATTGATCTGAATGCAAATTCACAGAGGAAATAATAACTCTTTTATTGGAGAAAGCAGTTCCATATTTTAAATAAACATGCCATATTTTTCATTTAAAACTGGGAACAAAATAATCCTTTTGAGTCACATGAAACTTATAGAGACACAAGTTTAGTGCTTGAATCTAATGGTGAATAAAATCTCAAAAAAGAATGGGGGGGAAAAAAATATCTATTCTCTTTTATCTCGCTTTATTGTGATTATGAAAAAAACTTTTATTTAAATTTTTGACGTCCAAAAGTAAAAAATAAAAATTTTGAAGATTGCTTTAGGTAGAGAATAAATGATGACAATTTACAAAACCATGTAATTTTGTGTCTGTCTTTCTTTTTGTTCTTCTATTTAAAAAAAAATAATAAAAAAAAAGAAGCTGTTTTGAAAATACAAATGATTCACTGAAAACGAATAAAAGCCTGCAAGGCTATAATTTATAATAAAAATATACGATTCATCTTCCTGAAGGTTACTTTCATAAATTGATTAACGGATAATTTAATATTTTGAGCAGAAATCATAGAATTCAAAGGATAGACATCACATGGGAATTGTTCTGCTCAGAGCATCAAAGAAATGCATTACAAGAGTTTATAAAAGAAAAACGTTAATGTTAGCATTTTTATATTAAATGATTTAATTTATATTAAATCATTTTTATATTACATGTGCGTTATTTGAAAAGGTGTATAATTATTTGTTTGCATTCCTAGAACAAGGAGGAAGGTGACTGAATGCTGGTAAAAGAAGCAGGATGAAGTTATACATGACCTCGATATGAGTAAAGAATATAATCTATGCCCCAGGCTGGTTGTTTTGTTTAGTGGCATATCAACACCTCCATGGGTTATTTAATGCCAAAATCTAAATATTTTGTATGCAATTTTATGACTTCAATAGATATTTTGTACATAATTTTATACTTTCAAGATCAATGTATGTTTTTTCTTTTTTTTTTTTTTAGCTATATAGTTTGTACATAAAATGTATTGCAGGTAATTTTACTATAAAAAATGCATTTTTATACTTTAGTGCAGTATTGATTGTCATTTTGCTATAAAAATGTATTATAACTGGTCATTTTTTATAAATATATTGCTGGTATTTTTGCCATAATGTATTTTTGTTTGTGGGGAGGTCACTATTTTCCCATAACTGGGACCCTATCAGGTGCTACCACCTCCAGTCAGGATGGACCTGGGAACAAGAGCAATTAAAAGGTGGCTTCATGCTCCTCAAAACCTCCAGTCTCTCGATCTTGCTCCCAGATGTACTATACACCAAGCACAAACATTAATAGTGAATAACAGTAAGAAGAAAACTTCAAGTATTAAATGATAATACAGCACAACTATATATATATATATATATATATATATATATATATATATCCAAAGATGAATAATGTTTGTGTAGATTGTAGACTTCCCAAGATGCATAGCACCACAGTCTCACCATACTAGTTATTTTTAGTCCTTTTCATAGCAAATACAATTTTACAGGATGGAATTACTAGTTTTGAATTCAGTGTTATCTTTCTCCTATACTGGTTGCCAACCAAAGATAGAGAGCACAGTCTACCCTGCTATTTCTCCCCACAGCTAGTGTGTGGGAGTGAAGATAGGTTTATACCTGTCTAAAGTGTATTTCTACAAAAGCAAATACAATGAGCTCAGCTGAAATTTGAACTCGACATGTCAAACTCTACTCTCTACACCATTACCGACAATGCTACATGCATGTCTGTTTAAACTGTATACAATCACATAAATTCTCAGTTGGAAACCTTATAATGCTGATCAACTATATGTACCTACAGGAGTAAATTTCTGGGTCCAGGGATGGTGTAAGATTTGAGGAAGTGGGTCAAGGTAAGAACTTTGTAACACTTTAACAGAGATAGGGTTTCTGAATTGAAGACTACACACATTTTTTGGTTATAAGGTAAAAAGAGCAAAGTTTGTCATGAAACTCAACAGACACAGAAAATCAATTGGCAGAAAATTAGAAGAAAGATATTAATTGATATTCACAAATCAGTTTCACACTGATGTCAACACTATCTTAATTAAACCCAGAATAATGAATGACTTTTTCAACATTTGTGATAATTTATTCTCTATAATAATGGACAGTTGAACTTTGTCTTAATGTTTCTTTGTTTCTCTATGACTTCTGCCAAACTCAAGCAAACAATTCTATCAAATTAGCAAGTAAATCCCTCTCCAGGACTTAGCAGGCAAGTGTTATATCCATCAGACAAGTGAAAAAACAGCATGTAAAAACTAACTTGAAAATATCAAGACCATGTCCACAAAATATACTACACTTATTCTAGGCAGAGAGCTGGGCTTTACTTCAAATCCATATGAGAATCATCCTTTTGGCTGTTTACGATACTACTTTAAACAAGACAAGCATTCATTTTATATGTCGATCATTATGAGAACAGTTTTAAATCACATGAAAAAAATAAACAAAATAGTTATTTTCATCAGGGTGTAGAATGTATATTTGAATTTGTAGAATGTAAAATGTATATTTTGGGCTCATCTGGGAAAAGAAGGAAATTTTTAATTGTGTTAAAAAAACTTGTGTATCTTGTACTTCTGTGATCAAGAAATTAAATAAATAATAATTGTGATTATTTCTCAATCTTAAGAATTATAAGCAAAGGAAATAGGACCCCAAAACATTTGTAATAATGATAATAATAAAACTATACAACAAACACCAAATAATGACAACAACAATCAGGAGGGTGGGGTTTACAGGAACAACAACAGGGACAACGAGATAAGTAAAAAGAAACATTAATCCAAGGTTTTAAGAGAACAGACCTTATTTGAAGAACACACACACACACACACACACACACACACACGTGATAAAAATATACTTTTAAGATTTGCTATATTTATGGGAAAATGCTATCAGGGACAGTGTGTATGTAAATATAAAAGTGGACACTGAGGTCAAAACTGAGTGGCAGCAGTTTTTCATGCTTGAACACAATGTTCCTATATATATATATATATATATATATATATATATATATATATATATATTACTGTTTACTGGGTTCATGGTCCTGTAGGAAGGGACAACAACTTGAATAAAACAGTTGACTAAAATATTGATGCACTCTCATCACACTATTTTGATAAATACACCTCAGGCTTCATTTAACAATTGAATTGCCATATTGTTAATACTTTATTTACCATTAATTATAATTATGTTGAATTACTTATTGAAAGTGGATTTTGCACAATAAGGGGCATTGTTATCTTATTTAAATTTTTAGTTGTTATTCTTGTTTTCTTTGAATTCATTCTTTGCCACTATTTTTATCAGCACTGTTTGTTTATCAATTCCATTTAGTCAACTGGTTTTATTTTTTATTTAAGTCATTGTCTCTCTCTCTAGAATTATGGGACTGGTAAATGGTAGTCAAGCATATATATATATATATATATATATGAGGTATACTATATTTATAGGTTAAAAGTGCACACAATATCTGGGATAGAGTGTGCGTAAATATAAGAAGTGTGGAGACTGATGTCAGCACCAAATGGCCTGAAGATTCTGTTCAAGCATGAAACAGACTGTCGCCACTCGGTGTTGGCATCATTAGCCACATTTCTTTATATATCATGTCCAGTATAATTAAATATAGAATCACCACAAAATGTTAGGTGAGCCTTTGGCTGCTAACTTTAAAAGGTTTTGCATCATTAGTAAGGAGATAGTGATGATGATGTAGTTGATGATGATTGATTGAAGATGAAAGAATAGAAAATGGTTAATACCTGCAATGGTTTGCCAAGAAGGTTGGAAGTGTTAATCAAAGTGGTGGTTGCATATGGTGCTACAGCAGGTACAGGATTTGGTTTTTGGTAGAATGTCTTCATTTGTGGAACATTCATGCTGATACGATTGTACAAATTCTGATCTTTCATTTCACTCTGGTCCAGCATGTTGGTAAGATCAGGCTGCAAATTGCCCATTTCTGAAATGGCATTTAATAACGGAAATTTACAACTTTTCTGAAATCGAGACTTTTGTTTTAATATAAAATCTGACTTTTATTTGTAATAAATTTTATAAACATTCTTTGTAGAAATATTTGTTATCACTCTGTTTTCTGAAAAAAAAAAAACTCATTTTTTTCTCATACATTTTGTCAGTGAAATTTTAACTTTGCTTGTTGAACACAGTACCACACTTCTTTAGCAATCACAACACATAATTAATTATATTTACATATAAGCATCCATATTATAATTATATTTTACATATAAGCCTCCATATTATAAACAGATAGAAATAAAATAAGGAACAAATAGGAAAACATTTATGAATGTAACATGTTTCACTTTTATTTAAACTTCATCAGAAATTTTTTGGAAATTTTCAAAAAAAAAAAAAAACCTGAAGTGAAAATAAAAGTGAAACATGTTACATTCATAAATGTTTTCTTATTTGTTCCTTATTTTGGCATTCCGTCAGATTTGATCCATATTTTTTTCAATTCCTATAGAGAAGGAGTTCTCAACTAGTTGGGGTGGGGAATTCCCCCCCCAGGAAAATGGGACATTGGGCAAAAAAACATTGAAAACCACTGACATAGAGTATAATAGATACAAATGGAAATAATACTTACATATTTCTAAATGTATTATCTAAATCAGGAAGTACTGAAAAGTTCTCAATTTAACCAAACATCAAAATTTATTTTAATATTCCTTGTTGATTTAACCAAGAAATTTTCAGCATTTGCTCATTTATATTTTTTACTTATGCAGGTTGAAAATTAACGAAAGTTATTTCAGAATATTTTCTTTCCGTTTGGACCATTTTTTGTGGGAGAATTTGAACATAAATTATCTAATGTCTTTTGAGTGCTTTTGCCTTTTCTTAAATAAAGAGCTTCATTGATTTTCAACCAAACCCACACACGATGTGTGGATGTGTAGATACATCAATAAGCCTGCAGCTTAATGTTGAAAATAGCATTTATTTTATAAAACAAATATATTTCACCATTTTCTTATTAATGCACTTAATAGTGAATAATAGTGACTAATATTCACTATAATATACTATCAGATTTTAGTATACAAGTTAATGTTTTCACAATAAAATTGGTATTAACCAACTCATGTTGGTAAAATTTTCAGGCTGCAATTAATATGAAATATTTTCAATAACTTATTTGGTGGTGTGCAATTTGATTATGCAACTTGAGAATTGTTTATTTTTATATATATATATATATATATATATATATAGGCAGCAAATTCTCTTTTAGGCATGTGTGCTTGAATAAATTACAGACATTATGTCTGCTAATTCATAAAAAATCTGTTCATACCTACGAATAACTTTCTGTGTATTGATATGAAAGTATGAGAGAAATGTACTTTAGCAGTTTAAATTTCTTTTATTTTCATTTACCAAGTACTTTTGATCTTTTTCCAAGATCATCTTCAGGAGTGCAAGTAATCTGAATATATCAAATATATATTTAGAAATACATTGGGATGATGTGCCTGGCCATATCATCTGTGATGTAATCCCAAGATGATTAGGGGTTTTGGCCTTATCAACCTCATACCCTTTCATTTAGTTGACCCAGCTGATATTGGTCAAATACCAGCCTGTAACCAGGTAACAAGCTATTAAGTACCACTTCATGGACTATGAGTATACAGTTATATATTATAGTATTGATAATTATTTATTAATTTCAGATCTATTGAAAGATTGCCATGGATCATAAGTAAGAAATAACTTCAAAATAGAAACACTATTTTGTAAATTGATTAAGAAAATCTTTGAATTTGAAAAAATGCTAAATCATAGGACAATTTAAAATGTATTTAAAAACATTGGCAGACAAGAACAAGGAAAAATGGTTTTAAAAAAGATAAAAAAATAATTTGAGAAAAATTAAATGACCAAAAAGCAAAATATTTTTGATCTGAAATTTTCACTGTATAATGTCCAATCTATGTGATTAATATTTAGTGATGAAAAGTGCATTGACAAGGAAGGATATCAAATTGAAAATGAAAAATTTGTTGCGTAAAACAAATGCTTATTGATGAATACTGGCTTATATATAATTAAAAATATACATTTACTGTTTGTCCTGAAGCAATTGTAATGCATTGAATACATAAGGCAGTATTGAAATATAAATTTGCTCTTACCAGCCATGTTGCCAACCATATTGGGCTCTTTTTGTGACATTTCGGTGGACAATAGATTTGCATTCCTGAAAAAGAATAAAATCAACTATTCACTGTTCATACCTATTTATTTCATACACTCTACTTTAAAAGTAGACACATAGGCATTAATTATATAAAAGACTGGTAGAGATTTTACTGAGTACCTGTCAAGGTTGATGATGGAAGTAACAGCACTTTGTTAATGTACTCAATAACCCAGATTTTTTTTCACACATCGTGGCATGACAAGGTATTTTTCAAAGGTATTTGTGGCAATGGAAAAATACAGGGAGAGGTAGGTTCATGTTTTTTTCCAAGAGCTTAACTTGGTTTGTTTAGAATAAAAAAAGACTGTATGCTAACCCTGGCCTGACATATATATATATATATATATATATATATATATATATATATATATATATTATAAATTAACTGATTTAAAATGTTTTTTTTTTCACTACACAGTTCTAATCATGTTTCAAAAATGGAAGCTAAAAGCCACGAATTTAATTTTGTAATTAAATTAAAGACATTAGTTCCATTTCATCCTCAAGTGAATTTTGGAGTAACTTATTTTTAAAATTACTGGGTTTTAAAGGCACTGCAAAAATTCATAATTCACGTTTCCAAGGATACAGAGCAATCCATTCATCCAGACAAGGGGTGGTTGCGTGTTCATTATCACTCTATTTTGTTGTATCAGTTATTAGTTACGTTTGAAGAAGAGTTTTCATTTAGGTAGGGGTAGGGATGTATTTTTCAACGAATTCTGACATCCTTTAAATGCATGTTGTCTGGATTTTAAAAAAAATTTTTATTGTTAACAGCAAAAATTCTTACAGCATTTTTTTCTATTTGTATACTTAAAGATTTTTTTGGGGGTGTTCAGGTTAGAATACGTTTTATTTAACTACAATTTTAAAAAATACTTTTAATTTTTAATATACTATATTTCTTTTTAAAACAAGTAAATGTATTAGAATTATTTACAGTATGTAAAATATATATATGATCCATAGATCTGAATGCAACAGCATTAAAGCCATAATAATCCTCAACATGGATGTGCAGCATTGGGAGGAACTGACTTTAAATCATACAGAGCAGAGGCACTTTATTAGGGTGGGATATCATGCATTTGTGGATGAATCTCACAGATATGCTCAGATCAAGTGTGATCTATGAAGAGGCACTCAATCTGATTTGCTAGTTAAAATGCAGTCTTAGAAATATGGTGTATTTGCACACATGGCTGTTGTTGAGGGCAGGTTATTGAAATTATCTGACAGGTCATCATGACAACCAAAAGTATGTCAATTATGCCAATCTGCCTCCTGTCAACTATAAGCACCTCTTTTTTTTGTGCTTGTTCTTAATATACAGCATCTGTTTCTTCCTTGGGATAATTCAGTGATAAAAAAGAAAGTTTTCATTCTACATCTACAGATAGTTGACTGTTGTGCTTGTCAGATTTCAGAGAGAAACCTTTTCACTTTTCTTAAGATATTTATGTTTAATCAAACATGATCCATCTTGTCTTGTTGCTGAATCACTTGTACAATGATGAGTATCATTAGTATGCCTTCAAAAGATCATTATCCAGGACATTGTATCTGTGTACACTGCACAAACATTCTTGTTTGTTTGTGTCATATTATTGGCTTTATGAAATTTACTCAGCCTGCATTAATGAAGCTGACAATCATTAAAACTTTTGCCATCTCTCATGATGTACAACATTGTCTTCATCTTGCTGTTTACAATTGGATTCAGTTGCTTCCAAATGTTCATATTTAAAATTTTTTTACATAATTGCTATTTTAATGCAGTGATTTGTGTTATAATGAACAATTTGGAAGAATTTGTCTTGAAAATCATTAGAAAAATTCTACCCTATTATTTAGAATTCATTATTCATAGCTTTATCTTTCATGTTTCAGCTTTGAAGAAAATAGTTTAAAACAAATACATTTGCATTATTTTAATTCAGACTAATGTCCTCATCTTTGTTGTTATTATCATAACATTTCAGCGATGATGCCTTCCACTGTTCTTCAAGTGTCTGTTGATCAGTTTAACCTTCAGGGAATTTTGAGCTGAAGGTCAGAGGCACAACAACTAAAATATCATGACAATAACAAGCACATTAGCCTAAACAGTAATAATATAAATAACAGTAACTCCACATTACAGAAATACAGAGAAATAAATTCATATGTCATTATTCTTTTAGTATTTCAATGACTAATAAAAGAACTTGAAGGAAAACAGAATTCAAAAATTGAATGAAATCACAGAATGAAAAAAAATGGCCAGTCAATAAAAATCATTTTAATGATTTATCAACAAAATTATAGAGAAATTTAAATAGAATTTTGAGAGAAAAATGTTACAATTAAAACTGCGCTTAATGTGAATAATTTTGATTTGTTGTTGATTCAGTGAATTTGGGTGAGAGGCCAGTTTTTCTTGTCTCTGTTTTTATCTGTCCATTTTGATTGCTGTACACATCAGCATTCCAGCCGTGTCAGTTGTATTTGGTAACCAGCCGGAAATGTTAAACGCAACTCTGATCCACCAGAATATACTATTCCATTTGACATTTTCGGAATGTTACAGAATGTGACAGACACCCGAACATAGCAAAGATGAGAAAATTGGTCTGGACAAATCAATATGTCATCTTTAGAAATTCAGAGGAAAAATAGTCAATGCTTTCATTCAACCAAAAGTATAAAAAAAAGATTAAAAAGTTCAATGTCAATTTTTTATAAGTAGAAATTTTTTCTTACCTGTATTGGTAATTCCTAGTTGGCATGATATAAAATAGATAACAAAGATTGTTTTATCAAAACCTACTCAAGTGAAATTCACATGCACACAAACAGTAATTTAATGACAGATTTCATACAAAAAGTTAAGCTTATAATGTCTTCTATTTTTGATATTAGACTTTTTAAGAAAATACAAGTCAAATGATTTGGTTGAAAATAGTTTTGATAATTTTTGTAAGATTATATTAAAGGCATCTATGTCCATATTTAAGACACATTTATAATTTAACCTCAGCAGTTTATATGAAAGAAGAATCTGTATAAAAAAAAATATTCTATTTTCTATGGAGTTTGTGGCTTCTGGTTTAAAAATTGAAGAAAAATTTTATTTTAGACATTTAGTTGAAATGAAATGTAATATGATAGGGGAGTAAAAAGTTCATAGTCTAAATAAATAGTTCTCCCCACAAAACTCTGATATTTGGTCATATTTTAGTGAGTGGGTTGGTTCTTTTCCTGAAGCTGTATGATAGAATTATAGCTTTAGAAAACACTTTCTCATAATTATTTATTCAAGCAGTTAAGTATAGAAAGATTTTACATGTATTGTCACCCTTGAGAGAGACCAGCATAAAATACATATGGAGATGTACTTTATCAGTACAGGTAAGAGTAAATTCAAATTCTGGAGAGGCAGCTTCTATTCACTTAGCATTAATGAGGAAGGCAAGAATCCACTTCTCCCTGCATTCTATGTATATATGTACTCAATGGAGGTTTGTAGTAGTGTAACAGTTATCAGCATGGAAAACAGAATCAGCAAAGTTTAAATTTTGGTAGAGACTGTTTATGTTCACTTAGTATTGATGCTTTTGGGAAAGGCATGAATCCACCTCTCCCTGCATTCTATATATGTACTAAATGGAGTTGTGAGGTAATGTTACATTTATCAGCAAATGAAGTACAAATTCTGGTTGAAACTGTTCAATTAACAATAATCGGAAAAGCATGAATCCATATCTCCCTGCATTTTTTAAATAGCCTAAATGGAGTTATATGTAACAACACAAAAAACAGAACTGGCAAACTGTGTTCAAATTTTGTTTAAGACTATTTATGGTCCCTAAGCGTTAATGTTTTTGGGAAAAGGCATGAATCCACTGTTTCTCTGTCTCATTGTTATTAATCATGACAAAAAGATGTTTGACATGCTCTGTGGCATGTTTGCTGTCACAAGACACACTTGTACATCTCGTGGTATGTTGCATACTGTGTCTGATGCACATGTGAGTCCATTTCATCATTTTATTTATACTGTTATTGTAACACAGCTATTTTGTTATCTGTATATATTTCTGTGACATTTGGAAGAGGCATGGCATGTGGAAATAGAACAATCTACCCCAGGGGAGCAAATAAAGGGTTCAGTTTAAAATTCCAATCACTTGAAGTAGATCAAAGCGTACAATGGATGAAACATCATGAATATAGCAACAAAGATGAGGACAACATTCCGAACATTGTAAATAGTGTAAATAGCTATTTTGTTAATCTTTTTTTTAGCTTCCCCCCCTCGCAAACTACCAAGATTCACAAAAAAATAATACACATTAAGTTTAAAATAAGGAATAAGTAGGCTTTTATAGTAATTTCTAATGGTGTAACTCCAAAGAAAAGATAGATGACATTATGCTAGTGTTCAAATATCCGAGGAAACAGTGAATGTGATAATGTTTGAGGGAGAAAAGAATGAGAAATTAGTAGGTAAACCACTGTCCCATAACTACTTTGCCTGCTCAGATAATAATTGTAAAAAGTTACAGCCATTATTAATCTTGACAGTCCAGAATAGGGTAACAGCTTTTTGAAATCAAATCAAATGAATGAAAATGTACTCAATCATTTGTGTAACAATATATAAATATCACAAAATAATCTGAAATAATCAGAATTTTACTGTGCAATTTTTTAATTAATTAATTTCTAATGAGTTTATCTTTTGTTGTAATTATTTTTAATTATTGTAATAAAAACAAACATGTTGAACTCGAACAACATGACAGAATAACAAAAGAATTTATATTTGCTATAAAAAGAAAAAAAAAAATCTTAATAAATGATTAACTAGTTTCTATTGAAGATTGAAAAAATGTGTACAGTGAATTAAATAAAAACAAGACCAGACAATATATATTCAATAAATAATCATCAAAAAGCTGATAACATTTTAGCCTAAAAGCAATGTGTTCTGCTTAACAGAGAGCAGTCTG